GCCTTTGCAGAGGCTAAAATATCTGTTCCATTTGCTCTTATAATCTAATTCTCTCCATGTCTGTTTCTTAAAGAATCATCATTTTCTAACGCTGATTTATTTAAGTTCATTCTGAACTGGTGGATAGTGGAAATATCTAATCCAGTGCATGGGAATTTATTAATATGGGTTTGTCTTTTTGTTGTCTGCTGTTTGTTTCCCCCATGCTGTCTTTAGCTCTCACGTTCTAGCTCAATGAGTTCTTTATCACGCGAAGTGAGTCAGCATTTAAACCAGGTACCTCTAGCTGGGCCTCCAATGGTCCACACTCACCCCTGCCTGCCACCCATCCAGCTCACCACATCACTAGTAACACGCTTCACCATTTGCACCTGAAGCTTCACCGCCCATTCGACCAAGGATGTCTGTCTGCTCCCCTGCCTGCTGTCTCCAGCATTACTAACTTAACTCTGTATCATTGATGATCAATAACCAAAACCAGCGAATGGTCAACAAATTAAAACTAATGCAGTAACTGCAATAAACTTACTTTTTTATAGCCTTGCTAAAAGGATTAACCCTAGTGAGTCTGGGGATCACGTCGCTTTTAATCAAGCGTTTTCTACCAGGTCAAAATTTCAATTTGTCCAACACGTTGGTTTGGACCAGATACCTGCAAAACTAATGACATTCCCATCACCTGCAATTTCTGTTTATCGCTAATTAGAAAATGTTAGCATGATAAACTGAGATTATGAACATAATCTATCCCTACAGTGCAGCTCAGAGCACTGCTGACCCTAAGTACAGTCTCATAGAGCCACAGGCAAGGCTGTAGACTCTGTTTTGTGTATACTACAGAAGTGAACCATCTACTTCTCTTGAAAGTCGCTGGGTAACTGAGCCATAGATCAGAGTAAGGCATGCTGGAGACTGTTGCAGGACGACTCACTTGCTTTTTGTCATGACACCTCACAGCTTCAATAACCCATCATAAAGCTTGCATAGTTAATAAAAAGTGAAACAGTGGTTTGTAATGCTGCCACTCTGTGGATCCAAGTACTCTTCGTCGTTACTTTTGCTTGTGTTCTGTTTTAAAATGTTGCCAAACCATTGTGTGCATCCCCCTCTCTGTCTCTGCCCATAGAGGTAATGGGACAGTAACACTGCACACACTGTAGTAACTCATCTTGTCCTTTGCAGAGTCATCCTGCCCCGGGACCTCCAACCGCTGGCGGTGTCACCTTTTATAACCCTGCACAGTTTGCACAGGTGAGGGTTTTAAAAAGAAAGTTTTAATAGATCTGCAGTTGTAAAATGCCACTCTCATTTGTCTTCCTTTTCACCCCCCCCCTTTTCCAGACAAGTGCACCATCAGGAGGACACCGCGCTGGTCGTTTGGGTGGTCAGCGCCAGTACCCAGTGTTAAAGTAAACATCAATTTTGCAGAGAGATAGTGCAAACAGACTTGTTGGATAGAGTGATATCCTACCTGGAAGCACATGGACATACTGCTCTCTGTCTAAAAGACCCTTTCTATTTTTCCTCACACCTAAGAAGAGCGTAATCACAGTCTCCATCATGTCAACCTTTTGTCCAACAGCTTAACCACTCGGTCATCTTTCTCTTTGGTTCTAGATTTGTCAATGGTGTAATTTTCACAGGCTCGGTGTTTCCTTTAAGGGCTTTTTCCTGCATCCAAACAGACAGTTGTAAAATGGGTTTTAACAAAGGCTTATCCATGGATGCATTCATACACAAAACTGTCTGTTCATGAAGGCATAATTTAGTGTACAATAAATATGTTGCTCCTCTAAGCTGTCCAGCTTCCCCTCAAACATAACACTGTCCTGTTTTAGTTTTCCCTTTGTGTCTAAAGTCCAAAAGTCCATGTTTGATTGACTGACTGATTGTATGTATGATGGATAGAAAGAAAGTGACAAAAAAAAAAAAAAAAAAAATCATATTGTGGACTTATATATGCATTTGCTGCTCTATAGAGTTCCTCTGTCAACTGGAGATTTGTGTGAGAATGAATCGTGTCAATAGTGCATTGTCTGCTGTGTTGCTTTAACCCAGTCGCCCTCCGGTAAAGGATGGATGTTGAAAGACACAAGAAAAGACCCGTAGCTGAAAGTGGAGAACATCTGTATTGTTAGGATGCTGCTTGTTTCCGATATTTATTTAATAGCCCTCCCTGCCCATCAGCAACTCTCAACTTTAAAGATGTGTCAGGGTCTTTCGTCCAAGTTAGGCTTCGCTTTTTCCTCTGAGAAAGGTGACAATATCACTGAAATGAGGGGTGGTCTTCAGAGTAGCAGGAATTGGGATTAAACTGCATTTTAAATGTTACTAAAAATAAATCTATCCAAATATTTGTATATCAGATTGATTGTATTTATGAGCTGTAGTAATAAAGGTGTGTGTGTGGAAAGCAATTAATTATTTCTGATTAGCTTTGAAGAAATTGATTTATGATTCACCAGATATGACGTGGACTCTTGTATTTGCCGCTTCTGCAGACAAATATTTATGTAAATTGTGACATGAGAGCTAATTATACTCTAAATACTTTGTCATTTTCAGTTACTGATGATTTTAATTCAATCATTTATCACCCCAAATGTTTGATTTAATGATTTTGTAGATATCAGGTTATGATTTTAAAAGGTCCCCTTTTGTTTCAGAGAAGCAATTGTTTTTCTCAATGTTTTAGGATTCCTCATGTAAAATTCTTGACATAAAACCGTAAATACAAAAGGTGGAAACGAATTGGTAATAAAGTTATTTTTTGCGCTCTGTAGCACTTTGAAAGATGTCTGTTGGCCTCATTCATTACAGAAATTTGTTTTTTAAAATAAAGACTACCATTAAATTCAATATTAGAACAGTTTGGGAGTTGCAACAAAACCAGTGGAGCTGCAGATGAGAATGAAAATGGCTTCAAAATTATCAATAACAGTATTTAATATTAAAGGCATAATCAAAGCTGTTGTGTGTGGGAGAGGCAGAGGAAGGCAAATTTTACATGGTATTCTAGAGGAAATCCAAGCATGATGAATAAGGCCAGGTAGCCTGGAGCATTTGGATGGCTGAGGGGATTTACAGTTAATTTCTACTTAATATACTGTAAATGCAATCTAAGTGGTCACCATTTTTGTAACCGTTTCAAACCACTAAATAGTAGCCCTAGATTGTGGCTGATGTATTAGCATCGATTCATAGGGGTAACCATCCATTTATCTAAAAGATGATTAATCAGCAATGTTTGAAAAACCCAAAAGGTTGTTTGGGATGAAAAAAATGTTCTGTCTGGGGCAGGAGAAAAAATACTTTTAATCCGTTTCCCAAGTTGCAAGTCTTGTTTCTTATCCAGGTAGCCACTGGCTGCCATCTTCGTTTGGATAGAAAACAGCACAATTTGAGAAAAATTAGATTGCAGAGAATTTACCTTTTGGAGAAACCGATTCTATACCTGTGATTAAAATAAATGAGAGGCACAAACTAGCACTAGTTAGTTGGCATTTAGAAACATCTGTTTACTCTGAAAAAATGTATCCACTATTCTGACACTTTACTTGATTTTAAAAGACTTCAGTTAGTGAACGATGGAATGGAAGAAAATTGAGGAAGAAACAAAAATGGAAAATGTAATAAAATTGAGGTGTGAAAAAATTTAAATCTAGAAAAGACATGACAAAAATCTGTTCATTTTCCTATACTTATGTGTATTGATATGTTACAGTACAACTGTCTTCTCACGAGCAGCTGTCGAGGGTTCCTGGAGATGATTTTGGGAGACTATACCAAAACTCCTCTGACTGTACTTAAGACACAGCAGTGCTTAGAGCTACATGCTAACATTGGCACGCTAACATACTCACAATGCTAATGCTAACATGCTAACATTAAGCATCTATCATGTTTAGCATGCTTACCCTCTTAGTTTAGCGTGTTAGCATGCAATTGCTAATTAGCTAGAACACAAAGTAACTTACAGCGGAGGCCGATAGGATTGTCAATAGTTTCATAGGTATTTATGTATTTAATATAACCAAAGTATCAGACAAACTGAAACTTCAACCTGACGATAGTGTTAGATAAAAATCATCAATGTTATTAGGGGTGGCACATAGATAAGACGCTTGCCTTTGGTGTGGGAGACGTGGGTTCGATTCCACCTGGGCAAGACACTTAATTGCTCCAGAGGTCCCACACCTCCATGACATGTATAGCAATTGAAAGTTGCTTTGGATAAAAGCGTCAGCTAAATGAAGCTAACTTGTAATAATAAATAAATAATTGTCAAGGAATCCATCAAGTAGATGTTGAACGTCTGGACAAAATTTCATGGCAGTCCATCCAAATGTTGTTGGCTGTTCTGCTAGTGTGTGAATGTTAGATTCTGTTTGAGCACTTAGGCTTAGTGTATGAATGTGAGTCAATGGTGAATAGTCTAAAAATCACTTTGAGAGTTCAAATATACAAATATGGAGCATATTCCAGTCTGGACCAGTGATGGGCAGACAGGCCAAATGTGCTTCCTTAGTTTAGATATAATCTGCTGTATTTTGTGTTAGCAAAGGCATTACATCAACTTACAGTTACATCAATATGAGCAGTATGATCAATATTTCAGTACAGAAAATCAAATAAATTGTCATAGCATCACAACACCTAGATAAGCACTTCTTTTGTAGCCTTACATGTAAATCCTCTCTTACAGCCTGCTGTAAACTTTTTCATAAAGGAACAATGATTCTGATGTTTTGTTCAATCACATACCAGTGAAGTGAGCACCCGTATTAGGAAGGGGCAATATTCATTTCAGTTAAGAAGAGGCTGACTTGACTCTTCAGTCATTTACAGTAGATCAAACTTTGACTGTCCACAGTCCACTCAACAATCAGTATAAATCAAAGATAGCTGGTTATGTAATAGGTAACTTGTATTACCATGATCTCCTGTAGTGATGTATAAGCTCTTCCCAGCATTACGTTATCCAAGTTCATTAAAAGTCAGTATGTGTTAAAATATGTATAATGTGTTATTCTGTGCGTAAACTGTTGTTGTCCTCTTCTGTTCAAGTAGAAAGAGTTCATTTTTAAGTGTCCAGTGCTGCTTGTGCTTTCTGAACAGCACCCTCCAGCATTGTGTGGTCACTGAGCAGCTGTTGGAGAGCAGTTGGGTCCATCTCCAGTAGCATACCTGCACAAATAGAGATATATACTGTATATATTAGCCTTATGTTTAGACATTTAATCTTTATCTGCACCTTACAAAGCCTATATACAATAAGAAAAATTATAAACTTACAAAGATATTACATCTAGGAAGATTGAGGATATTTACAGGGAATGCTACTACAGACGGAGTATCAGGTCACCTGTAATATCATTTGCATGACGTGGATCTAGCTCCTCCACCAGTGAGAAGATCTTCTCTCCCAGCCTCTCCGTGTCATCAGTGTCCGACGAGTCACTGATGTCTGTCTCCTCCAGGTTCTGCCTGAAGGGAAGCATCATGAACATCATTTCAAACAAATGGTTTAACTGTAATTTATCAATGAATATTGGTGCTTCTTAAAATATTTTATTTTGTAGATTTAAATAGCAAGTGGCCTGTTAAGTATTGAATGTGTGCCCTTGTATGCAAATGTTTATTCAACAAGCAGTAACAAGTCACATACTCTTTAAGTGTCTTCAGGGCAAAGTTCACCTGCTCTTCCAGCTGTTTTGGATCTGAAAGAAGGTTTATAACTGCCTCTTTGCGCTGCTCCAGAAGCATTCCTGTTAAAAAACAGCAGATCATATTTTAATGTATGACACACTCGTTGTTCATACATTAATCTGCAGAATATAAATTATAACAAGACTAAGAGTCCACAGCCACACTAGCAGCTCTGTGAGGATGTACTTAGGCGCACTGCAATGCTTTGAGCTCAGTGCTAACTTTGGAATGGCAACATGCTGACAAAGACAATGCTAACGTGGTGATGTTTAGCAGGTGTAGTGTTTACCATGTTCACCATCTTTGTTTAAGGTGTTAGCATGCTAAGATTTGCTAAACATAAAAGTACAGCTCAGGCTGATGCTATTTGGTCCTCAAGCAAAGTATCGGACAAATAAAATAAATTTTAACCTGGTGATGGTGCTAGATGAAAAGAGAGATCAGTGAAGTGCTTACAAATATCCAGATGGGAACATGTCATGGCAATTCACTTCAGTTGAAGACATTTCACTCAAAACTATAAATCTCAACCTCACAGTGGTGCTAGAGGAAAAGTCAGAGGATCAGCAGGTCAGTAGGATTCATCCTCTGTTTTAATCAGTAAAGCGGAAAATCAAAACCAATTTTTTATTTTGCCATTTACCAAATCAAATGAGAAATTTGTTTTAGAAAAACAAACGTATGTTGTTATAGAAATCACTCTGAACTTAGCACAGCTGTTACAGTCTAACTGTAAACTGTAACCTTAGCTGCTCAAAAACATTAAGCGTGTGTAAGTTATTAGGTGTTTGTTGAGTCACCGGAGTGGTTGCCTACCTGTGATTTTCTGTGAGTGGCCAGTGTTATAAACATCCACCAGCTCAAACAGCTGCTCCCCCAGAGAGTCAGACGACATGGACACATCATCTTCGTCTTTACATCTTACCTTGCTGCAAAGATTTGCAGTGACATGAGAATACACAATTTGTGTAGTTTGTAGTTCTGTGCCATTTTTAAGAATCTGACATACAGCATAAACATCTTGTTCCTAAAATAACACACTGACCTAAACTTGGCTGTAAATAGCTGATGTTACCTTCATGGGTAAAACTACCTTTCCTCAGACTTTTTAATGGAATAATAATCTCTGTTACATTTAATATGCCCTTCTGCACCTAAATCCTCTGCTGGGATTGCATCAGCCTCAGAAATGAGGACCCACATACTGTTTAAGACCAGCCTGTTCAGGATGATGGAGGGAGATCAGGTCTGGCAACCCCCTTCCCATTGCTGTACCTGGGCTCCTGTGCCAGCTGTAGGGCTCTGAGGGCTTTCTCCACGGCTGCGGTCAGCGTGGCCTCGTCCTGCAGCATCTGACTCAGGACGGTACCTGGCAGCTCCAGCAACATACCTGGAACACACAGGCAGGCGTGGAAACTTTGGTTTTAATAGGTCATATTTTTAATGTAAGAAAAAAAGTAACAATCTGCCCTGCAGGTCAACTCACCTGTGAGTTTTCCAGCAGTCTCTTTGTGTTTGGGGTAAATCAGATTGTACAGTTGCTCACCAAGTGTCTCCAGATCTTCTTCTTCATCCATGTTTGACTACTTACATTAAGACACCGCATGCAGCTGCCATGTTACATCACATCGTAACTTTGTAATGAGCAGTTTTACAGAGGACTTAGACCGCTGACAGCTTTTTGGTTTATAGCTTCCAATCACATCAACATTCAGACAACTGCCACAAAACAGTTCACAACATCTGCGTCCAAAAAAATGAAAATTTTCTCTACAATTATATTGAATCTGTGCTTACCCTCCACATGCAACTACGTTATAATCTAAATTAGGAGGGCCGTTTTTAGGGTGAAAACAGCTGACATTTGGATATAGACATTTTTGACGGCTGTCTGTAAACACGAGGCGCGCATTAATGACGTCGGGCTTTCACAGGGAGCGGTGAGTACATGTTCCTCCGCTGGGCTTGCGGATAAGTAGTACTCCGTAAAAAACATTCACGTAGGATATAGCGTCATGATACTAATGAAACAACTACAGTGTCGATAATAACGACTCAACGTGTTTGTTTTAAATGTGCTAAAATGTCGGTTCGATAGTAAATTTTTTATTTAATGTAGTGAGTGGCGCGCAATGATCTGTGACAGAGGATCCGTAAAGAGGTTTCCGCTCTCTCCGGTCCTTTTCCTCCGCTAAAAGGTAACGTGGTCGCCTCGGCAGCTAATAGCCGGTTACTAAAGTTAATTTGTTTTGTGTCCCTACTTGTATTTAGTCTCTGAAATAAATATATTATTGTTGTGTTGCTTGTTGTGTACATCCCAGGTGGCAGAAAATGTCTCTGTAGGCTGTAAAAATGTAAAGAATATTTGTGAGCACGTCGCCCACATTAGGCCTCGTCGTGCTCGATCCGTCTTTAGGGCAGAGCAGTGGAGCTAACTCAAGCAAACTGCCCTTCAACGTAACAACAGCTCTGTGTTTTAGGGAGATTAGCTCAAACGTTAAATACACAATGTATTTTGTGTTACAATACTCACACACTGGCTCGTAATTTCCCCACTCAACCGGTAGCTAATGTGAAAATTGTGAAACCAAGTGAACGCGTTTAGCGCTTACGTTAGTTTTTATTAAGAAAATGGTAGCAAACAAATGACGCCTGTCAGTTGCAAGCACTTGGAAATTGCTGATGTTATTTCAGTAACACTTTCTCCTGTTTGTACAGGTTCAACATGTCGTCCCATTTGCAGTGGATGATCATCAGGAACTGCTCCAGCTTCCTCATCAAGAGGAACGGACAGACCTACAGTACTGTGAGTAGCTCGAGAGACGTTATATAGAGAACTTAACACTGTCTCTGCTCAGGCCACTTGCCTACGACACCAGACCTCTGTCCCAACTCAACATTACATTGCAAATTTAACCAGAGTTTAAGAATGTAGTGTAATTACACAGTAAAAGTCACAAAATTACTCGTCAAAAAGTCTTAGAAGATTCAAAGACCGTTGTGAGTGTGCTGTTTATGCACAAGACAGTATGGGCCAACAGTCCATTATACAAAGGCAGTGGAGGAGGTGCATTTTGTGAAATGTAATTAATATTGCATCAATAGAAAAACATTTGTATTCTCTTTGAGTCTGAATTGGCAGTGGCATTCAAAAGTCACACTCATTGATTGTACTTTGATTTCTTGCATACCAACAGCAAAATCTATGTACTACTGCAATACAAACTGTAGAAACTTCTCCATGGACACTATAGCTAACAGAATATAACGTAATTGGCCTCGACATTGAAATTAATGCATAATTGTTAATCTTTAGGGTTATCTGAATTAAATATATTTATGTAACAGGAGCCCAACAACCTGAAGTCCAGGAACTCTTTCCGCTTCAATGGTTTGGTGCACAAGAAGACTGTAGGTGTGCAGCCAGCGGCTGACGGCAAGGGAGTCGTTGTTGTTCTGAAGAAGCGTGCAGGTAAATATTTGACACTATTTCTATCTTCAGCCACTTTGTGTCTGTAAAACAAGTGACTTATTGTCTGGAATAAAAACTTACTTTACCTGATGTTCACAGTAGGTCTTTAATTATTTGAATGATATTACTGTCTAAATGTGTATTGCACAAACTTTGTTCTTTAAGGAAAAATGTACCTGTAATTGTAAAAAGGATATTTTTTTTTTTTTATACATCAGTTGCTTTTCTAAGGGACTGGCTACTTTCTGTGATGTATTGATGCGTCCTTGAATCAAGCGTACTAACTTCCAATTGATTCAAAGTAGAGTTGCTCATGCCCTGAATTGCAGAAAGTCAAGAAGCAGAACAAATTGACAGTTTTAGCAGGTTGCAGGCATTAGCAGGAATTTAAATGGTTGTCTGCACTCACTGGATTCAATTAGCTAACATACCCTGAACTATAAGGATAAGAAACATGGGTGCAGGTGAGCACTGCAATTGAAAGAGATATAGCAGGTTTACGTAACTTAAGACCTTTTGCTGTCTCAGGTTATTTATTTTTGGATCATTACAGCTATGTGGTCATATTGGAATTTCTTTTTTGTTTTCTCATCGCACAGGCCAGCACAAACCTGCAGGCTCGTATGAGAAGATCACTATCAACAAGAACTCCCGCGCCACCCTCAACAGCCTGAGGCACATCATTCGCAAGAACAAGTACAGGAAGGACCTGCGCATGGTGAGCGTAATCTCTGATTTTACACAACAAATTCTCAAATTTAGTTACAACATTGGTTTGTATGATGGTTCTTTTTTATTAATACTTTGTATTTTAAAGCTGTCAGGAACACAACTTGAGTCTAATTTGTTTCCCCAGGCTGCCCTTCGTCGTGCCAGTGCCATTCTGAAGAGCCAGAAGCCTGTTGTGGTTAAAAAGAAGCGCACCAGGGCTACCAAGACGGCATAAACTGATACACATGATAAAAAAATAAAAGCTTTTTGTTTGGAAAAAACACCTCATAGTTCTGAGTCTTTAATTTCACCAGGATCCTGATTACATATCTGACAACACTCATTTGGTAGGTAATCAATCAAGTTATTCCCAAGTATTTGTAATTGCATAGAGAAGATGCTGAATTAGTACATTTTGTGGTCCATTTAAGAAAATGATCGATTCAATGGAACCTGAAGATTTTTCCTCCCTCAAGCTTGATTGGAACATTAGAACAGGTCTTAACTGCCTGATAAGCAGTACAACTTAATATAGAACATGTTGTATGGCAAGTGTCACTGATATAGTAGCAGTATACTATAATATTACTAATTTCAGAGCACCAAACATCCCAAAAGCTGAAGTAAGTAGTCCAGCTGTTGTGTACAATTCCTTGCAGTACAACATTTAAAGTGTAGCACGTTCTCAGTCTCAAACGATGTAATCCATTGACCACATTTAGCAAGATCCTTGTAATACAGATGCACATTAAGACATACAATTACCTTATTTCTTTTGGTTTGTTTTCTTTTGGCTTTTTAGTAATCTGATTCTGTTTCAACACCGTTTTGGGGTGTTGAAATAAGCCATAAAGTGTTTTCTACAATATAAAAAATCACTGACCATGACGGATTAAGGATGTTGATCACCATGGAAGTTACCATTGGCTATTAAGCCGTTTCTCTGTTATGCCATAACTTGCTATTATGCCTATATCTTAAACTGTCAACAATAGGCCTAACTGAGACCCATGCGAGCTACCTTGTAACGTGATGAAAGTGAGGATTTATGTTGCACCCTGTAGCCTCACGTTATGTATTGCCAGCCTTCAGCATATATCATTAATTGATTTTACTTCAGTCACAGATGCTGACACCCTCGCCTTAATAAAGGCAAAGATCAACCTGGATGACCTCTACAGTAGGAGTTTCCCACACACTGATTTATTTGTGGCTGCCTGCAACATTATCAACGCTGATCGCCACAGATTGATTTTCGATTGATTTTGCTACTATTTAAAATGGGTAAAATCGTATTTGATCACAGAGCGCCGCTCAGCGCATGCATCTCCTCTCGGCCAGTGGCGCTCGCTCTTTCGCCACAGTTACGTTGTCATTCTGTGGGAAACACTGTATTTCCGTACAATTGGGATTCATGGGTGGGCAGCAGAGTGAGCGTGAGCAAGCATTCTCAACGTGACAACCCTGTCCATTATTTAGTGACTGGTACCTCATCTGCCTTTTTGCTATCTTGGTAATGAAGTAATATTTTCCACTGTGTTAAGTCCATCTTTAAGATGGCCTGCATTACAACAACACGGGGCGCAGTGTCAAAGATGCGCTTTTTGTAGTCCATCTTCAGAACATTGTAGTTTCGTCATGGCAGTAACATCCGCCGTCGCATAGTTACGTCGCTTAGAAAAGCGCACGCGGATTCTCTGAGCCCCGCGGTCCTCTTTTCCTAAGTCCTTATGGATTCTCCTTCACATCTTTCCTTGACCTCATGACGTTTTCCATCGAGGTCAAGGAAAGGAGGTTCTGGTGACTCTTAGGATGGAGCCCTCGCTTTAGTTCGTCCTGTTGACCTCAGCGCCCAGATGTCCCACTGATGATGTGCGTCCTGTAGCCTACTACATGTGACAGAAATGAGCTACAACTAATCAAACACCAGGAGTATTGATTATCTATGCACCCATTTGGCACAATACTTTGTTTTTGGAATGGATTTTATATTAATTCCTGAAGAACTGAACAATTTGTTTACACAGCATCTGTTCCAAGCATACCATTGTCATTTGAAGTAGATTATACTGAAGCAAACAGGGCCCATGTTGCTTTGGTCACTGTGAACACTGATGTGGAAACATTGGATAGATTTTAAAGCAGCCCACTGGCAGCTTTCCACCCATGGCTTTGGAAAGAAATACACTGTCACCTCCCCTTGAGTTAAAGCTGACAACGTACACTGCACCAATCATTTCTGCAGCGAAACGCATCTCATTTACACAGGATTTGGACTTACCCATGAGAGGGATTTTTGTTTTTGAAGATGTGACAGAAGCTGTGTGCTGTGGTCGCTATGAGGGGACTAAGGTCAGTCCTTTTCTTCATGCCCCTGGCTCTGCTGGTCCTGCAAAGTCGAAGCTTTGAACTACAGGATACAATTCATGCACTGATAGAGGAGAATATCCACCTTCATGACCAGCTGGAGAACCTCACCCAAGCCCTCAGGGAACTCAAACGGATGCTCTGGCATCACTCAAATGGTACTCTAAATCCTCTACCATTTAAATATACAGAACAAATACAGATAGTAACCAAAGACTAAAAAAAAAGTAGGCTACCTGCGCTTGTTATTTAATTGAAAAATAGTTACAGTGGAAAGTTATTAAGAGGTGTAATCTTTTTCTACTTCTGCAATACATTTTTGGGTATTTATTCTTTAAAAGGTTCAATCCACACTTGTAATGGGAAAAAATTATTTCAGATTTTTGAAAAGAGTCACACTAGTCTTTTAGCACAGCTTTATATATATTTATTTATATGCTACTCTGCATTTCACTACACATAATACTTGAATGAAACCTTTGAATTTAATTGATGAACAACAATACATTTTTTTGTATTAGTTTCTGGTTCCACAGAATTTAATCTCAAGATACAGGATGTACAATACATGCCCTCTACTCCATTGTGGGACTACTATTGAAATTTATATTAGTTTTATGAAATGTTGCCCCAAGGTCAACACAGCAGTCTGCTCTCTCCTTCTCATTTCCTGTTTGTGTCTGTTTTCTCTTAATCCTTTCCTCGCTGTCTTTATTCATTCATTGTTCTCACGCAGCTTCCTCTCTTTTGTTGTTTGACCTCACCCAGAAGACTGAAATAATTATTCATGATTATGGTCAATTATTTCCTATGCATTAGTGTTATTGGCAGATATTGCAATACACTTGCATATCCCCATCTTGACACAGCTGATCTGTGTGTTTAATACAGACCCAGGTCATCATGAGCACCACGAACATCACGATGAGGACGTCCAGCATCTGTGGGACGAATGGTCAGAACACGGTTCGTATCATGACTAAAGCATTTCAGAGAATTCAGAGGTCAGGTAGCAGATGTGAAAAGCCTCCAGGAGATTCACTGCAGTGAGCAAGTGCAAGTTGTGGCAGAGCCCATACCATTAGTTGGCATTGATTTCACGGCCATGTAGGCAGCAGTTAGACTTCTGGGTCATGTAAGCACCAGAAGTGTTTTGTTAATCAACTCTGCCATACATCTGCCTTCTAGCAGCATGATATTTGTCGCACACACAAGTAATAGGTTAATGGTAAATACTCCTGCATGAGATGATGTGACAGTTTTTTTCCCTTTCTGGCAGGCATCAGTGCAGAAACCCATCTCCTGTTGGAACATGCATTTTGTGGCTCAGCTGCTCCCCTCCATGAAGAAACAACCCTCCTGCTGCTGGCATTAGTCTGTCTCACCCTGCTGCTGATGAGCTATTTGTAGGCTACGTTAGCCTGGTGTCCACTGAAAACGTGACTACACAGAACATTAGCTGTTAGTCCATGTCGCTCAGTGTTTCATACAAAGTAAAGTTAACATCCTGTGGCCAGTGGGGATAAGTGCAAACAATACTTTGTCATTTAAAAATAAAATGAATAGTGAGTTTTGGTTGCAGAGATTAGCTCCAGTCCTGGCTATTCCTGTTCAGAGTGATTATTGAGTGGACAGGATTGGATGAGTTGACCTATCTTCAGTCAGTGTGCTGGATAATCACCTCTGGGGAACTTACTGAACTGGAAAGAAGCCTGCTGATGCTGGTGTATCATCACAGAGGAAGCTGATTTATGGCAGGTTTAACCTGGTGACTCATCTTATTACTTTTTATTAATACCAATTTGTTTTTTCAGTTTCATTTGTCAGTTTCTTGTTTAGGAGTTATACCAGAAACCACATGATTACACTGAATACTCAACTTTTGGCTTCTCAGTGTACCAAAAATGTGATTTCAACTACTACGTGAACTCCAAATGTCAAGATGTTACCAAATAATAAATAATCCTACTTTTACTATAATTCCCCAAGTGATTAAGACTACTTATTTCATGAGTATAGACCTTTTTTTCCCAGCAGACATTATGACATTATGTCATGGCAGGAAAAGCACAGGTGAAACTAATAACATTAATGATGGATTTGTTCCAGTATTTAATAACATTAATTACACCCATGTCTGATCAAAAAGTCAGCTCTTAAAAAGGTCCAAAATATATAAATAGCCCATGTATACACACTAGTATCAGCATCTGAGCTGATCTTTGAAAACAATAAATGCCTACTAATGGGATGAACCAATGTGTAAAACCTTTGATTACTAAAATGTTGTTCAACTTTGACCAACTGAATGAAAAATGATTATTAAAGTAGCATTTGTTTACTTTTTTTGGCCGCTGAGGGACAGCAGAAGCTGTAAACACAACGCTGACAATTATCACCTTATAATGTTGTTATGGTAAATGTGTTGGCCAAACGTTGTATTTACACATCCAGCACCTTCAGTGTTGTACAGTTGTGATTCTGTCCACCCAACAAATACCAATAATCAATCCTTTCTTAGCTCTGCTTTGGTCTCCAGCAATTCCTGAGGGAAACACCTGTCTCTTTAGCAGATAAATGTTTTACATTGTGACTTGACATTGCAGAAAAAGCACAGGTGGAACAAATAACATTAGTGATGGCTTTGTTAATAACATCACACCCATGTTTGACAAGTCAAAATGTCTGCTTTGAAAAGGGTAAATATATATATATATATATATATATATATATACACACACACACACACACACATACATACACATACACACACACACACACACACACGTATTCATCTGAACTGATCTGTGAATACAATAATGTTCACCAGCCTTTTCTGCCGTTTGGTGCTGAACAGGGAGTATAAAATGAATTTATCAGAGCTTTTTTCCAAAAAAACACTCAGTTGGGAACAAGGTTGATGAGTGTGAAGAAGGATTTTGGGTTGGAGAACCAAAACAATGAGCTTAAAAAGCCTAAATTCTCTGTGGTGCTGGAGGGAACTGCAGAGCAGAGTAACAATTGTCTGTGGGTTTGTTACTCCAAGTGACTCTTTTCATTTCACTCTTAGTCAATCAATCCACCTTTAGTATAAACACATTGAGTAGGGCAACATTCCTGAGCTCTTTTTTGTTTTAGACTCTTCATCCCTACCTTGAACAAATATGACAAATTAAAATACAGCAGCAATGAGTCCAAACGTTTGTTTATTGTTCCCACGATTTCAAATGGTACAGCACATATAAAAGTTATAAAATTAACTAAAAGTCAGTTTGGGCTGGAGGCTTCGTATTCTACAGATGAAACACACTTAATACAATGAAGATGCACATGAAACAAAACAGGAAAATGTGTTTTAACACAAAGAATAAATAGTTGACAGTCATAGCTCAAACAAAACATTTAACCTACCCCTACATTAGTCTCACTGTGTATAACAACAGGTCCTCGATATTCATAATGGCTAGAATGTACTCTGATTAAACATAACTCTTGTTTACCATGTCATGACAAAACTCACTGGGTCGCGATGTTTTGTGTGCATTTACTATTGGCTTCAATGCTGGTTGTATGTTACTGTGTGAGTAGCAACATGGTTATCCTGGCTCAGTTCGTCATCACTACGGGGTCCCACGTACAGAAAAATGATCTATAGTCCATGCAGACTGTGTATGAATGTTTCCCAAACATATAATGCATGTTAGATATTATGGCTCTAGTCTATATCAAGGTCTGAGTCCTCATCACTGACAGTGTTCTGTATGATGGCTCCATTGCGAACGGTCTTCGGCACGATGGGGGGCTTGTCAGGTAGCAGGCCGTACTCCTGCAGCAGGGCCTCCAGGTCTACAGCAAAGAAGTCTTCCCCGAGCTGGTCTGTGACCCGCACGAAGTTGCCGATCAGGTCCCCTCCTTTGTAAACGAGCAGAGCTGGCAGAGCACTGTCTCTGAACAGTGCGCTGGTGCTGATGGCCGAGCTGCGTACGCTGCAGAACTTGATCAGCGGGTATTCCTGAGCGAGACACAGCAGGCTGCCACTCATGGCCTCACAGCCCGGGACATCCGGCTCGTAGATGTGGATCATGACCAACGTGCTTTTGTCCTCCTTGTCCAAAGCCTCCAGGAAGTCCTCTCCGGTATTAAGCTCATAGACCTGCGCAAAGCGTTTGCCGCGGCAGAGCTGGCGCCGCATCTCTTCAATACGCTGCATTCGGTAATGCTGGAGGAAGTCTTCATCATCCTCTTCTTCCTGGAGCATACTGTACTCCTGCATGGTCATCTGTGGGGTAGACAAAGAGGAAAACATATCCAGTTAGTTAAAGGAACAGTTGGAGATTTTGGGATATATGCCTTCTTGCCAAAAGTTAGATCAGAGGATTGATGCCCCTCTCATGTTTCTAGGGTAAATATACAACCTAGTTAGCTTAGCTTAGCACAGAGACTGGAAATGGGGGGAAACAGCTAGCCTGGTTCTGTCCAATGTTAACAAAATCCACTTTCCAAGAGATCTAAAGCTCACTAATTAACACAATATATCTTGTTTGTGTAACCCATACAAAATTCTAGGTGAAAAAAGGTCAACTCGCTGAATTACAGATGTTATGTGCTGAACATTTTCCTGGCCAGGAGCAGTTGCCAGTCAAGCAACGGAGACTCCAGGAATGTGCTGGTCACAAGAAATAGTCCAATACATACACTCATAAATATAGCAAATTGTCATTTTACACGAAAATTCACAATGTCAAAATTGTCCTTTTAAAAGAGTGGCTGCTTATTTAGAGATGCTCGGATTAATGAACACTTTTTTTTCCTGGATTGTAAGATTGCTGATCTCTAAATTGGCCAATTATAACTATGACAGGGATGATCTTGCTTCTCAGGACATGGGATGTGTGTATATGTCAAATTGTTGAAAGGCATTAATGCGCAGTGAATAGTGTGTAACTAAATTCACTAATCCATAATTAGTGTCCAAAAATAGAGGATGACAGCGCAGGGACTGTGTTAATCAGGTTGTATTTAGATTTCTCCCACAGCAACTGTTCCCTTAAGCCTAGTTCACACTACACAATTTTTAGCCCGATTTGCCAGTCGGGGAGCTCAGCGACCGTCTGTGATTCTCTCTGTAGCTCAGACGATCCCTGCTACCTGTGTGTTTTTGTCTTTATAATCACCATCTTTATAATAACAAACAACAGCTGTTTCGTGTGTATGTTCGCGTCATTTCCCGTTTCACATGTTTTTTGTTTTTTTTTTTAAACGTGGTTTGGGGACCAGCGTCGGGTGACACCGCCACTTTCAGCTCGCGTAGTGTGTGACCCCCTGTCACCGATCAGTCACATAGTGTGAACAGCATGGCCATTGGCCAGTGCCGAAAGTCTGTAGCAACTGTGGCAACCATGCACGGCCAGAATGCGTAAGGAACAGGAAGTGTAAGCCACAACTATTTCTTTCCCCATGTATGCATTTTGTCCCAATCCTACTTACTTTGCCTTTGATTTTGTCCTGCAACTCTTTTTGTTTGTCTTTGTCTTTTTCCATGTCGAGCTCAGAGCGGCAGCTCATCGAAGCTTCTTGATCAGTCTTTCCATCTCTTTCTTCTGCTCTTGTTTCTGCTCCACCTCCAGCTGCTTGTACTTCCTCCAGTCATTGATGACACCCTTTGGTCCTAAGAAAGAGTAGCCAATTTTATTGGTCATCAGGGTGACAACTGTAAATATCTGATTAAATATAAATGACAAAGTGATGATCACATGTTACTCAAGAATTTTATACTAACCAAAGATTTTAACCATTACCAGTGTGTTCAAGAACTAGAGAGCTTGTCAAGAATTATGTGTAGCATGGCCACTTAATTCATACACAAAATGAAGCACAGTGCTTTATTGGGACTTTTTGGTATGTGTGTGTGCTTGTATAAGCACCTGTGTTGACAGCACTCCCATCGGGGCTGTAGTCTATTTCAGGCTCAGTGACGCTTGCGTCCCGGATGGTCTTCTTCTCCCCATCTTCGTCTTCGTTGTCGCTGCCTTCGTCCTCGCTGCTGCTGTAGTAGTACTGCAACTTCTCTCCCAGGATCTTGTCATCCAGAGTCGTCATGATTACGGCTCACCTGAGAGACACCATGGTTATTAATGTGTTAATGATAGGGCACAGATGTTACTCACAACTTTGTCCAGACTCAACGCTAAGCCTAATGCTAAGCTTAATTCTTTCATAAAAGATGATATCTTTGTGTTTCTGTTTATTAACATGACTGAGAGCTCATCCTTTTGTACTTTAGTACCACATGCAGAGGAGAGTCTATGTATTAAGCAACATCAAATTCAGACTAAGCACACAATCCTCCAATTTGACTAATAATTTGCATGAGCATTGTAGAGGACAGTGAGACAATTCTGGCATTTGGTTCATCTTTAAATCCTCATAGATAAAAACAGTTTAGTCTCATAGGAGTCTATCTGAGCACATTAGTCAGTGGAGCATAATAATCCTGACTGAAAGTCATCCAAGCTGTCATAGGTCGGATGGAAAGGGCTTTTCAAAAATAGGACATCCACACTATTCATAGCTTATACAAAGTGTGTCAATTGACAAAACATGGGCTGAGAAGCCTATAATGATGCACTGAGCAGTATGTAAGCCAACTCATATGGACAGATGGAGATACAAGGAGGCAGACACCCTCCATAAATCCCTCTCACTTTTGACAGTGGTCAGGCAGCAAAATGGAAGCTAAAAGCATGCCTAACTGTGGCGTAATGTTACAGCTCTTTTGTTTGATTGGATCTGCCATTTGGCGACAATAACGTTACAAAACATATTGCTGCCGTTGAATATATCACAGTTAATGTCTCAAATACATCTAAACAGTAAGGAGCGAAGGCTTACAGCCAATACCTAAGATGTCTGAGAAACACATCAGCCGAGGTGACAGCTACGATAGCCAACCCAGCT